TATTACTGAGAAACCAGCTATATTTAAGCTAGTTAGCTTAATGCTAAGAGGTGATTTTACGTGTGTTTGATTAAGCCCAAATAGCCATAATCAAGTGATGAACTTCCTGAGACAGGGAAAATAAATCAATAAATATACACCTCTAACTGTACCCATCATTGATTGAGATTGCTTAGTTCAAGCATCTTCCCTCTGACCTAAGATTTACACTATTTAGTAGCTTTTTCTCTTTTAATAATTGCTACTTCTTTGAGCAATTTATGAAGGTGGCTTCTAAAAATTAACTTTGATAATAGCTGATAATGATAGTATAAGAGTTTTTTTGTTTTTTGTTTTTTTTAATTATCCTGAAACACTGCAAAAGAGAAGTGGGAAATCCTTATTTAGCTTAGTGATATTTGAAAGTGCTTCATAATTGAGGGGAAAAAAAGAAGTAATAAAGCAATTATAACTTTTAAAACACTTGAAAAAATAACCCATTTAGCCATATAAAACTTTTCTTCACCCACAAAATATCCTATCGGAATTGGATATGTAGATATAAATATCACCACAATCCCCCCCCTCTAAATCTAAACATCATTTCTAAAAGCAAAAGATTCCTTCTCTATATTGTACTCTTTGAGAGAAGTCTTAGGTTATTGTTTAAACAACCTTTATTACCCGCCTTAGACATTCCCCAGGTTACAGAGTAGGGGACATCTGAGCTTTGTGTTCCATTGATGAAGCAGACAGCTGCCGTAACAACTGAATCTATATAGGAGAGGCATTTGAAGGTATCGGGGTGATACACCCAGCAATGGTTACCCATGGCGGAAGATGGATGGCAAAACTACTAAAAATCAGGCAAGTTACCTTTGGAGCAACAGCTGGATGCAAAAAATCCATACAGTTGGGCTCATAGGTCTTCCCCTCCCCTTCGTGACCCCCACTTCAGTCTCCATTAAGTCCATTCTATCTCACAGATTGGTCCTAGTGTCCTGCTAGCTCTCTGCTGAAAGAGGGAGGGAGGAAGCGAAATGATCTCTGAAGATGCTTCATTTTCTTTGTCTCTGTCCCTAAGGCAACAGGAAGCTGGAGCTGCTGCAGCAGGCATGGCAGTGATGGCAGGCCTGTTGGCTCTGCAGAGTGAGCAGTCTCTGGCAGCCCCTGGAGCAGCTGCCAGTTAGACAGCTCGGAGTTCTGACAGACCTCACTGCTTCAGTTCAATGCCAAGTGTTAGATGTATTGGATTCAGTTCCCAGACGGCTAAAGATTGGAGTCAAGGCTGTCTGAAGACAAGAGAGCAGAGGCAGTTTAGTGCAGTTGGATGTGTGAGGTGCGGGGTAGAGGCATGGGGAAAAGGAAGAAGAAACTGGCAGGGAGAATAGGTCTCCTAGCCTCTCATCACTGTTTGGGCCAAAGGTGAAGCAAACCCTGGAAAGGGGTTGAAAATAAAAGGTATGGCTGCGCCCAGGAATAAGCGAGATGAGGAGAGCGCGAGAGAGCTGGGGCTGTGGTTCTAGACTCCCTCGGTGCCCTGGGTGAGGGAGGAGAGCCCTCTGGGAGCGAGCTTGTGGCGGCCCTCTGCCGGCGAACCAGTGGCAGTTTCGGCGTCAGCAGCGGCCAGGGTGCCACTCGCGACCCACTGGTGCTCGGCACAGGCCTGGGACGGTTCATCCTTGGCCTCGACGAGCTTGCGCGAGAGGTTGTAGACCAGGATGAGGCCTCCGACCAGGCAGGCATTGAGGATCATGATGAACAGGATGTAGAGATAGGCGTCATCACCCTTGATGCTGGTCACCTCGCGGCCCACGGAGGGGTTAGGCACGACCCCCATGCCCATGCTTGGGCTGGGGCCGGCGCCCAGGCCACTGATGTTGCCCGGTGGTGCAGCTCAAGCAGCAGGCGGCTCAGGAGGGTTCGCAGCCGCTGGCTCTCGCTGCAGTTCATAGCTGTCAGGGAGTGACACGGAGGCTCCAGGACGCTGCTTACCTTTCTCCTTGGGTGAGAGGAAGCAAGCAAGCGACAGCGGTAGCACCCAGGTCTCTGGCGGGCCATGCAATGGCTGGGAGGCGCCCGCCGCCCCAGCCTCCTTATCCCAGCACCCTTGCCCCTCCTTCCCTTTCCCATCACGCCCCCTCCCGCCCGAAGCCTCCTCTTCCCAGGCTCCGGCTGTCTCGCTGCTCCAGGGAAAGGGGATCGCTGATGGAAGGAGGAGAAGGGGAGGGAGCGAGAGGCAGGGAGAGTGGTGGAAGGGGCGGGGGCTCAGAATGCTCGAGGCCTCAGGCAGCAGAGGCTGACCAGGCAGCTTGCTGAGGCCAAGCTTGGACCCTGGGCTGCGAAATAGAGTCCCTTCCAAGTTCTGGCCACCTGGCCTACAGGCCTGGCTTTGGCAGAGATACAGCATCTGGCCCCCCAAGGCAGGCTTTTCCCTGAGGTTCGGTCAGCTCTTTAGTAAAGTAGCAGCCGAGACCTCTTGCCCTCATCTTATGGCAATTACTCTTAGACAAAGACCCTAGCCTAGCTATTTAGCCCTCATTTCTTCCTCTGACCAAGGAAAGCATCTTACTCAGAAGATGCTCAGACCAAATTTTGTGGCTGAGTGGTCTGCACTTGCAAGAAGACCAAAGCAGAGTAGGACTCTCTAGTCTTCCAAAAAGGTTTATGATAATGTACCAGCCTCCTTGGAAGTACTCCAACTCTGCTGTCCTGTCACATTTATAGATGTGCCCACACATCTTAGCATGTGAGTGTACCATCCATAATGTGACCCCATTTCCCTTACGTAAGCCATCTTCTTCGAAATGAAACCAAGTTCTTCTATTAAAAGGAATAGAAACCTTAAAAAGGCCCTTTAACCATACTCTCTAGATGTCTCAGTGTCTGAGAAGTGCCAGTTCTAGAAAATATGGTCCCCTCACCCCAGCCCCTCACCACCATTATCCAGTTTAGCCAGCACCCAGCTCTGTGACTTTCCAGAGCTTAATAACAGGTGTAGGCCCTGCTGGCTTCTGGGGCAGCCATTTTCTCATAGGGCATCTTCTTTTAGGGGAAATAAAACAAGGCACTAAGACAAAGATCAATCCATAGTATGTCAAACTTGAAACAGACTCAGCTTCACAAAAGAAAAGTTTTCAAAGGATTGATTTGTACACAGTGAGTAGAAAAGAAAAATAAGGTAGTACTGGTCAGGTCTGGTTGTAAGTGGTTGCCAAGTGAGAATAGAAAGAATGAAAGAAAAGTGTGTGCCCTTGAAAATCGAGCTGCCTGTTCAAGACCATTTGGCCCAGGGGCCATTCAGTCTGCAGGGGACATGGTCGAAAAAGAAAGGTTTTCTGGTGCCTCTGCCTACCACCCCCTCGGGGGCTGCAGCTTTCTGTTGCTGGAGTGTGGTTGGCACAAAGGGCTTTCAAACAGAGCCTTCCTTGCAGTTACACCCTCTACACAGGTCTCAGAGACATTCCATTTGACTCTGACCACTGGCTCTCTCCTAATCACCTTGCCTCAATGTCTTTGCTTCAGAAGGACTCAGGAAAGAATGTTAAAAATGACTTGGCATGACAAATGGCAGGTGGCACAGCTAAGAAGTCTCAAGTAAGTACCAACCTAGGGACAGCACTGTTAAGCTAAAAGACTCCTGTTATCTGTTAAAATATGTCTAGAAATCTCTAAGGTTTTTTTTTTGGAGGGGGGGAGGGTGGAGAAGGAGGAAGAAGCTCCTTCATTGAAGTATAAAAATAATCGCTTAATCAATAAATATTTGTTGAGTAAATGATTAACTGAATGAATAAACGTGTTAAAAATAATCATTTAAACTTGTATTATAGTTCAACAGCCTTATGAGCTAGTAGGATTATTGCCATTTCCAGAAGAGAAAATAATTCAAGTAGTTAAGTAGCAGGACTAGAATGATAGTTTGACATTGCTCTTCTCAGTCTTAATACATTACTCTTGTCACACAGGTGATATCCATGAGCTGCCTTTATTTCCCCACCCCTCCCTTCCCTGGAACATTCTAGAGTCCAGCGCTTTCTGACAAACCCTCTGAGTAAGTTCAGTAACAACCTCTTGGCCAAATTCAAGGGGCTCTGCTCTGATTTCATCTTTGACCTCAAGGATGAATTTGA